ATGATGTCCCCAAACGGGGTGAGATAACAACATCTCAGTAAGCTCAAAGTTCATAAAGGATCCTCTAACCCATGAGCCCACTTCCTGCATGACAAGCCAGATATAAAGCATATAATACAGACATACAGCATAAACACAATATCATCATATCATCCTTGTGTAACCCCAGGGTCAAAGCCATAGACAATTACACATGTGTGACTTCCAGGGTCAAGCCATAGACAGTCAACACAACCTCAATATGAAATAGCTCCAGAGTCAAGTCATAGGCAGCCTAAATACCATGTTCACTGGCCAGGATCCTCATAACATATATCATCAGTGCATCATCATAACATCAAGATCATATAACATCTATATGAATGTGAATGAATTCACTTATACGTCATACCATTTACTTTCATACAATACAACCATAATGTCCATCATCATGGTGGGGCCACAAGAGAGAGGAGTCAACTAGAACTAAGAGCTTACCTTAGGGAGCTTAGCACAAGCCCACACTCCAATAGTATACGTATGCTCCAACAAAATCCTAAAGTGCACGGTTCTCTAGGCACACCTAGCATAGGAACCATTCACATCATTAATTACATATTAATTAATCAAGTCATATCCACGACTTAATCATTTAATAATTCCACTTTTCATACTCATATGCCAATAATATGTCCATTACAAGTCTAGACCAATTATTACTTATTACATATTTTGTGCATTATTACAAGCCACTGTAATCTTCAATTACCTACATAGCTTAGAATCACATGCAAGGCTCACTTAGGTAACTTAGATTATTTTCAACTCATCCAAGCCATATTTATGATTATTATAAGTTACTAAGGGTTCTCATAAGCCCACTTAGCTTAAATATCACTTTTACGATTTTTCCTATAACTGTACATGCTTCTGTTTTCTAGTCACTGAGCGCGACTCACTTGTTATAAAATTATCATCTTTTAGTATGTAATATAGACTCAATTACCTTTACAACAAGGTATCACATGCCTCATTTGGAGTTTCCTAACTCCGGTTATCACCCTTTGAAGTTGGACAAGCAAAGCTGTTTGCCAACTCCGAACAGGGCCCTAAACATCCTTTACCATTTTTGCGTTTCTGGAAAATTTACTAACCAATTTCTCTCAAATTTTTATGCAGATAAATAGACACCTTTATATTTAATTAGACATATTATGAGCCTAATTTGAGTAAGCACAAAGGGAGAAACAATTCGTGGAAGTTGCAGCCATGTACAGCCCCTGCACATGGCCTCCCTTTGCAGTCCTCACTCAAACAAACATATAGAATGGAATACATCTTCAATTAATACCAAATTTTGACACCACATAGCTAACATCTTAAACTTCAATTTGATATAAGGCACAACCCTATATGACCTCTGTGGAGGGAGATATGATCTATCCAATTTTTCCTAAAAACTAGTTACTTAGCCAAATGAGTTTACTTAACAAACCTTAATTACTTTTGATTATAAATCCTAATTCACATTAATTCTTGGATTTTTATATTATTAAGTCACATTATTAAATATCCTTAGTCCCATTATATCATGATACTTAAATTTTATTAATTATTTAATTAGTGTACCTAAACCCTACTTTAGTCCAATTTTAGAGTTAAATCCTTAATTACTTTTGTTAATTAATCCTTACCCTTAATTAATCACCTAATTCATCATCTCCTTAATTTTAACACGACTACACCCTTATATACTTTATGGGGCAGATTTGATGAGCTATTTTAATTAGGGTTTTTAGCCATTATTAATCATGATTAGTGAGTTTTACTTAGAGTTAACACACCTAGTTAATCTTTGTTATCATTTTTCCACACTTAACAACTTAATCACTTTTTTTTTTATCATCAAATATTATTATTACATGACATGGCTAAAATCATCAAGGGTCTATATAGGGTTCATGTTCATCTTTTCACATGAACAACACACGAAGGTTCAAAGGTGGCACCTTTACTCGTCAAATCCATGTTTCCTTGGTTCAAAACACATGCACCCTTAAAGATCTTCATTAAATCATTACTTTAAAAAATTTTAAACAACATTCTCCTCATGAGCATATTAAAATTGAGGTACTCAACAAGAAAAAGGGAGGCTTTTTGGCTCATATTTCCCAAGTGGGAGCTTACATCTTCAAGGTTCCTCCTTTAGCTCAAGTCTCCACCTTTTTCCACCAAGAACCCTCCTTTAAGCAAGAACAAACCTTCATGAACATGCTCATGAGTTAGGCTCAAGAACACAAGAAGAAAAGATCAGGTTTTTCATGAAAAAATCAAGAGAACTTACCCACAAAATCGCAAGAACCAAGCAACCAAGTGTGGTTCTTCAAGAGAGTTTAAGAACACAACTCACACCCTTGAACAACAACAAAACTGTGGCTGTTTGTGAGGTGAGGGACATGAAATTTTTGATTCACACCATGAAAATGGTATGGTGGTGAAGAGGAGAGTGAGAGAAACAACTTTGATGAATGAGATTTTGTGTTTTGAAGAGGTTTTGATGGAGGAATTCTAGAGAGAAGTGTGAGCAAATTCAAAAATCAAATTTTAGAGAGAGGAATAGTGAGGGAGGCGCTGGTTTCTGAATCAGCCAAGGGAAGGTGGATCCCTAATGTGGGGGTGCTATGTCACAAAGTGACCATTCGTCCTTTAGTGAGATCCGGTGTAATTTTTAACTGATCTGTCGTCAAATTTTTATACGGAAACTCCCAAGACTCTAACTTTAAGTACTTAACATGAATTTTGTCTAATTATCATGTTCATAATTTAAAATTTTAATTGGTAGATCACAGATCCACTAACAGTTGTTTAATTGCACTATAGTCTTTACCGGTGTTCTTAACTGTACCTGGATTTCATAATCTTCTTAACTTTAACATTTTTGGTCTAACTATGACTTGTTTGGCATATATTGGTCTTTATTTCCATTTTATCATCTTTTTCCCGTTTCGGGATTCTACCGGCTGCTGCTACAGTAGTACAAAATACCCAACAGAAGTGACTTTTCAAAAATACCCTAATATGGATATCAATCTTCATGAAATCATATCCTAACCTTATTCATGATGTTTATATCATTAGATTAGCTCTCTAACTATAATTTGCTAACTTGGAGCTATTCTACTAACTGTTCAGCAGTTAAAATTAACAAATGAAAATTCATCTATGCAAAATACCCTCGATATGGGTATCAAAATTCTTAAATTTCATCCTCATTCTATTTATGACCATAAAGTCCTCATTATAACCCTCTAATTTAAAAGTCATATAATTATGGTTATTATACTTTTTACCAATATAATGCTCCTGATCTTGCGGTTGAGCTTCAGGTGAGGGAACTTCTTTGTCAATGAACTTGAATATTGCTTATTCTCCGTCCACCCTCAAGATCAGCTCGCCCTTAGATACATCAATTAGTGCTCCTGATGTTGCAAAGAAGGGTCTTTCAAAGATCATAGGGATAGTCACATCTTCCTCTATATCAAGGATGACGAAGTCAACAAGAATGGTGAACTTATCCACCTTGACCAATATATTCTCAATGATGCCATATGCTTGCTTTGTAGAACGGTCTTCTAGTTACAAGATTGTTCTTGTTGGCTTCACTTCTGTGATCCCCAACTTCTTCATTATGGGCAACTGCATTACATTAATGCTAGCACCGAGATCACAAGGACAATATCTACTTCAACCTTGCCTATGGTGCATGGAATGCTGAAGCTCCTTAGATCCTTAAGCTTTGTAGGTAATTTCTTCCGGATAATGGACTGCATTCCTCTGGCAGTGTTACCATCTCACATTCTCACAACCTACGCTTCGTTGACAGTACATCTTTCATGAACTTCGCGTATTTTGGCATGTTCTCCAAGGCTTCAGCAAATGTTATATTAATTTGCAACTTCTTGAAGATGTCTAGAAACTTTGAATCTCTTGCTTAAGTCTATGTGGATAAGGAATTCGAGAATAAGTGAGAGATCTAAGGGCTTGTCTTGTCTCTCCTGAGCTTTCTTCTCTCCTACTTGAATTCCTTCTTCTCTACTTTTTCAGGAGTAACCTTTGTAACTGCAACTATGTTCTTTATTTTTTCCTTCCTCCCCTCTTCAATACTGGGCTCTACATCACTCTTCTTTTCTTCAGAAGGTTTTCCTACTGACTGAATGACTTTCGCGCTCCTAGTAGTAATTACATTGTAGTGCTCCCTTGGGTTAACTATGGTATTCTCCGCCAAAGTACATTGAGCCCTCTCAGAGATTTGCCTTGATAATTTCCCAATCTGAGTCTCAAGATTTCTTATAGAGGCTTATTGATTCCTAAATGCAGATCGATGAAGGCAAATGTATTCTCTCTAAAAGCATTTGCACCTTGTATTAGTCAGAGGTAGTCTTTGAGAGTTGTGCCAGTGCTTTCTCTAAGTCTAAACTATTATTTTGATGAGGAGGTGGATTCAATTGATGTGATGACTTGTAATTTAACCCTGATGATTCTTCCAACTTGGGTTGTATATATCACCATATTGATTCCTCGTGGGGTTGCTCTGATTCTTCTTATCATACCAGATCCCATTAATCTGGGCAGACTCTGTTGCTCCTATTACATCACACTCTTCAATAGCATGTTCACCTGCATAAACTTTGCAAATCATCGGTGGAGTTTTGACAGCTGATAATTGGAAATTTTTGAATTGCTTGGTGAGAGCATCCACTTGTTGCTGCTGCTTCTTGTTCATTTACAATATCTGCTCATTCTGAGACAACAATGCATCATAGCCCTCCAATTTCATGAGTCCTACTATCCTTTGTGGCATTAGGGCATTGTCAAACTCTTGAGAAGCCAATGGCTCAAGTGATTCCAGCGCATCTTCTGGAATCTTAGTTTTCAATGATCCTTCTGAAGCAGCATTGACTAAACATCTTGAAGCAGGAGTCACCCCTAAGAAGAAGATTTGAGCTTTTTCCCAAGCTGCTAATCCATGTTGTGGACACTTCCTGAGTATTCCCTTGAACCTTTCCCATGCTTCATAAAGTGACTCATTATCCTTCTGAGAAAACCATGAGATATCGGCTTTAAGTTTAGCCAATTTAGAAGATGGGAAGAAGCGAGCTAGAAACATTGTTGAGAGGTCATTCCAAGTGGTTATGCTTCCTTATGGTTCTGTCTGCAACTAATTTCTAGCTAACTCTTTTAATGAGAAAGAGAAGAGCCTTAGTAAAATCGCATCTCAGAGACTCCATTCATCTTCAAGGTATCACATAAGAGCAAAAAATTCTCAAGATTAAGATGTGGGTCTTCAGCTCTTTCTCCACCAAATTTCTCCTTTTCAATTAAGGACATGAGGGATGGCTTGATCTCAAAGTTGTTAATGTCCACATTTGGCCTCACAATGCTTGCAGCCTGAGGAACTCTAGCTAGAGTCATATAGTTTGCCAAGGTCTTAGGAGGATGTTGTATTTGATTTTTATCTCCCATTGTTTTCTCCTTTGATTCAGTAGAACTTGGAGCTTCTTTTTCTTTTCTCTCTTTTGTGATTTTTTTGTTTTTCTGGTTGTCTTCTCTATATCTGGATCAAATTACAAGGTTCTTGGATCAATAGTACCTCAAATTAACTGAAAGTAGAGAAATTAAGTAAAATAAAAGAAAAATTAAAATATAAACAAATAAAATATAGAGAATTAAAAAGTCCAATCTAAATTGCTTATAGCTACTACTAATGTTGAAAATTCTAATCCCTGGCAATAGCGCCAAAAGCTTGTTGCGACTTCAGCAAGTGCACTGGTAGCAAAAGTAATAAAAGTGTACGTGATAACAAGATCGTTCCCACGAGGATTAGATTTCAAGCACTAGTTCACTATTCACGCTTTATTTGGACACACAATTACGAGAACCCTGGATTAAAAGTAGGGGGTGTATTTGATTGAGATTTCAAAGGATTTTAATGAATTATTTTTGGGCAAAGAAATCTATTGGTATTCGTTTAGGATTTTAAAGGATTGAAAAAAAGTCATGTGGTATTCGATTAGGTTTTGAAAGATTATTTTAGAGTCCGTCCAAATCCGTTGGTATTCAATCAGGATTTTAAACAAAGGAAAAACAATCTTGTGGTATTCAAAAAGCTTACGATTTTAATGGATTTTCTATTGGTGTGGATTTCGTGAGACTTTTTAGTGAGAAATATAAATAGATATCTCTCTCACAATCTCACCCTAACCCATAGAATTTCTTGAGATTTGTCTATTGCAGTGTCTTCTTCTTCCTTTGGTGGGTTGACCCGGTTAAAACCGAGTTTCGCCATTGGAGCTTCGTCAAAGCTCAAAAACAACAGATTTTTGAGCAATTTTCATCACAAAACAACCCAACAAAATTTAAATCTAATTGATATAAAAAATAACTGATTTTGAAGCAATTTTTGAGAACTTTTGAAAGTTTAAAAATGATTTTTCAAGCAATTGGTCATGATTTTTTTGGTAAGAAAATGTGTAATTTTTGTATTAAAAATAACATAAAATAGTGGAAAAACAACATGGGAACAAAAAAAGCCCAACCAATTTTCATTTTACATCAATGAAACAAGATCGATTTAAAGAAAAATTGAAACTTTCATAATATGACCCCTATATTTCATAATAATACATTCATGAACGAAATTCCTTCGCTATATAGAAAATGATTTCAAACAATTTTTGTGTCAATAGATAACTAAAAATTTATTTTTCAAAATCCCCAAAGCAATTAAGATTTCAATGTATCGATTGAAAATAATTTGAAATTTTTTCTAAACTTTCATATAATAAAATCCAGAAATTCTGATTCAAAATTTTCTTAGAATACTCAATGAAAACATGCATATGATATATAGTTAAAAAACTCTCATCGCATAAAACAAAAACCCCAGGGTTTACAAATCAATTGCAAAAAATTCCAAACAAAAATTTATCATGAATTTCGCTAATTGAGAAAATTATATTACGTTTTACTTTTTTTATTAATATCACTGCATTTCTTTGTTAACTTTTTTATTGACTTTTGTAATTTTGAATGTTTGTTAAAATTTCATATGGTTTTTTAAAATCTTAAAATCCATATTGTCCTTTCAAATCTTATAAATTCTATTAAAATCTTTTAAAATCCAATCTTACGAAATCTTGATTGTAAAAAAAGTCTTTAAAGTCTCTCCAATTCTTAATAGTCTTTTAAAATCTATAAGATTTTTTTATCTCAAAAGAATCTTTTAAAATTCTAATCCAATACACCCCCTAAGATTGATTAGAGTTATAAGAATTCAGACTCAATATTTTCAAGACTCAAGACTCAATATTTTCAAAGAAATTCCAAGGAAAAGAGGTGGAGACATGTACCCAAACTCAAGAACAAGACAAAACAACAGCTCCCCAATCCTCCTCTTTTTGTTCCAGTGTTGTGTTACAAGAAGCACGATTTTGCAAAGTAAATATGGGTGATGTGCCTTTGGCACATAGGTATTTCAGAGTAAAAAGAACAAGGATTTGATAGTAATTCAATGATAAAAAGTATTATTTTTAATGAATACTTGATAATCTCTCTTTAGGCACACTTTCATTATGATTTCATGTTTTTGAAGGAGAAAAGCAGAAAATAAGCTACGGTTACAAATAACCACCTCACGGAAACAGCGTGAGAATGGCACGATGATGTTTTCTCTTCCACGCGAATCGCGCCATGCTGGCGCTGATCGCGCCAAGATTGAAGGAAAAAGCCAACACCACTGTCTCTTCACGAAAGCAGCGTGGAATTCACGTTGATCGCGCCAAGTACACGGATCTTCAACTAATCGTCTGCGCGAATCCTGCGGATATGGCGTTGTTCGAGAGACGTATTGAATTGCAAATTTGAATAAAAACAGAAATAAAAATAAAATCTTTTGGAAGATTTTGACCTGATTGAGTCATTGGGTATTAAAAGGAATCAGAAACCCTAAGAGAAAGAACTTTTTGCACGGGAGAAATTACGAACAACAGAAATCGGAGCAAGCTCTTGGTGACTAAATATTCAAGATTTCTTCTTCCCATTCTTCTGGTTATTATTTTTATGAATTCTTTTCTATACATTAAATTTTCAGACATGAACATGTCAGGCTAGTCTTTTATTATTGTGATAAGGGTCACAACCCTTAATGTGAACCCCTTGTTTTTTGGTTAATTTTTATAATTAATTATTCCTATTGCATTTATTTTATCCAGTTCTTCATCTTATAATTCTTTTAGAACTGATCACTCTATTAGGATTGCGAGGGTTAGAGTTTTCAATAGGAATATTGAGATTCTAGTTCCTGACAAAGGGTAAGATAACAATTCATGTACGCACTAGGGATAGGCTTCATGAATTGCAAACGTGAAATATTCACTGATTTAAAGGCTTAACTTGAAAAGAAATTTCTAAGGGATTAGGATTCTAATAGGGTTAATAAAGTTAAGATCACTAAGGAATTAGGCATTAACTAATCAATTAAAAGATAGTGAATTGTTTGATCAATGGTTAAATTAAATATAAACATTAATTCATATTGCAAGGTGGGGATCATAAAGGTGTTGGCGTCTTTTACCGCAATATTCTTTTAAATATTTTCTCAATTTTAATTTGTTATTCTCAAGGTTTTAAAAGCATCTTTGAATTATTCATAAGTTCTTGAATTGTTCTCAATTTTTACAACCATAATTGTTCTTAAACCACTTTTATTAATCCAACAAGAGAGGAATGGTTATAATAACTTTGGTGCCTCAATCCTCGTGGAGACGATACTCTACTCATCATTTTATTACTTGGTACGATCGGTACACTTGCCGATTTCATAACAAGTTTTTGGCACCGTTGTCGGGGATTAAATACGCCAATTTTATTTATAACTTTTGATTTTCTTGATTGGATTTTGTTTTATTACTAATCTTTTTGCTTTAGTTTATGCGAGGTAAAGTAAATCGAGACACTTTACAGTTTGATCCAGAAATCGAGAAAACTGCAAAGAAGAACCGAAAGCAAGCCAAGCAAAGAAAGAAGGAAGAGTCTTCGAGTTCTAAGCCACACACAGAACCAGTGATGGCAGCCCCTAATCCACCTCCTGCAGAAGAATTGATGGAGTCAATTTCTGCTCCTATGTTCACGAGGCCGAACTCTAGCATAGTCAGGCCATAGATAGATGCCAACAACTATGACATCCATCCGTCGTTGATTACCTTGGTGGAGAAGACTCATTTTGGTGGAGAGGACTACGAACATCCTCATGACTTTATGGATAGATTTCTGAGAATCTGTGACACAACTAAGTATCATGGAGTGTCTGATGATGCAATCAGACTCCGGTTGTTTCCTTTTGCTTTGACCGGGAAAATCCTCAGATGGTTATATCGACAAGCTCCTAACAGTATCCGAACATGGGACGAGTTAGCAGCCAAGTTCTTTGCTGAGCACTTTTCTAGGGAAAAGTACAATAAATTGGTGAATCAAATCACCAACTTTATTCAACAGCCGGGAGAGACCTTGTGTGCAGCCTGCTCTAGATTCCAGGAGTTGATCAGAAAGTGCCCCCAATACGACTTTCCAGACGCCAAGAAGGTCAGAGTCTTCTACAATGGAATGACACCAGATTCCAGAATGGTTGTCAACGGTGCAGCCGGTGGAACCATAAGAAAGAAGACAACAGCTGAAACTCTGGACCTGATTGATTACATGGCAAGGAACGAAAATGCTTCAATGAAAGTTCAACCGATTCAACCGAAGAAAGGACGTCTACAACTAGGGAACAATGATGTGTCATTAGCTGAGTAGAAGATGATCTCTCAACAGCTAGCCAGTATGAATGCCAAGCTAGATAAGATGCAAGTCTCAACAGCTCAAGTTAATTTACTTGACTGTGAGTACTACAAAGGTAGCATGAGACTAATGAGTGCCCAACACTCATGGGAGTTGAGTCGTTCCCGGTCAATAGAGTTTGGTATGATCAAAGGCCACCACAGAATACCCAAATATTTTAGAGGAATCAGAATAGTGCTCAAGGAAGCAATTTTCAAAGGAGAATTCAAAGGGGAGGGTTGGATTATACAT